CCCCGCGCGCACATTTTGCATTATTATTTGCAGCTTAACCAAACGAATAAAACAACTTTCCATAAAATTTTCAAGTTCGAGCATTACGACATGTCTGGACGCAATGACGTACCAAGGTATTACTGTAGCAAACATGCGATTTTGAATCTATGCTGGTCAAACTGAAATCCAGGTTGCAGACGTTGGATGTGTAAACAAGTTCTAAGTTATTATTATTAAAAGTTATGTTGGTTAATATATTATTTATAACATACTAATTAATAGTCTTTTGTTGTCCTTCCCACCTCCTAGAAAGTGGTAGAAACGATGAAGGAGGTGCATCTGGAGCTATCGGTGGGAGAGGTGGTTGGATCTGCATGAATCGCTCTCAGGCCCGAAACTAATATAGATGTGGACGTAAAATTTAAGTTATTTTGTATTATATATGTTATAATCATGAAAAGAATCGATAATGTTATCACTTACAGCAGTGGAATAAAACGGTGACATCTCTCACGGTGCCCATGGACGATTGGCACAACTTCCTATAAAGGTAGACCAGAATAGCTCCACCCCACCTGTAAGTAGGTAACTCATCTAGCCTCTCTACTTGATACGGAAATCGCAAGTTAACTGGTTTTCCCAAAGTGTTCGGGAACAAAATACCACCAAACATCATCAATAGTCACAACCTCGTATGCCGCTCGATAGCCTCTACCAGGGAGTCATAATCAATCTCCACGTGTAGCGCCACTAGATGGTGCATAACTGGCGACAACTGCAATCGGCTAGCACCACTCATAGCAATCGACTCCGCATGCTGGAAACTGGTGAGCCTATGCAACATATGTAGCTAGTCCTTTCTCGTATAATCCCTAAGAGCCTGCGGGCAGCTAACATCCATACCATGAACGGGCAACCCGAATAGAACCTCCACATCCTCTAGCTAGATGGTAGCCTCGCTGATAAGTAGATGAAATGTATGAGTCTTAGGTCGCCACCGCTCTATTATATCCGTGATCAAGAGCCAGCCGAAATTTAACCGGCCGATCTCGATAATCCGGTAAAACTCCATCCGCTCAAGGCGTGTAACTGTACGGGGATGAAGTGGGTGATCCCTAATGAACTCCCAGAGATCGTTTATATGTCTGGGGTGGAAGGTCTGGGACAACAAGTGTCCATCCCAAATGTGTGAAGACCTATGGACACCCTGGAGCAACAGTAGCTCTCGAACAACATGTCCAAGATGCACATGGGAGAGATCCATGCCGATGTTTGTAAATTGAATAATATGAATTAATGTATTTTTCTCGTTAATCGTTTAACATCTTTAAATATATTGATATTTTTTATATTAATATTTAATCGATAAATTTTCTATATTATTACTTAGGTTGATAAATAAAATAATTATTTATATGTTAGTTTCTTAGATTTTTTGACTAAAATTCAACAGAGTTTTGTTTGAACTGTAATTTTTTTCTCCAGATATTTTTGGGTTATAAGAAAATTAAATATTTAATTTTATTAATTAATCACGATATATTTAATAATTATTCATATAAAAAAAATACTAAAAGCTTAGTACTAAATAATATTCAATTTATTTCATTCCTAACGATTTGTTTGTTAACTTTTATATTTTACACAAAAATCCAGCAACGTCTCTTTTGTACTGTCAACTAATTATTTTATGATTCATATCTAATATTTGATTGATATCTAATAATACATTTTTGACAAGAGGGGTTGCTCTGATGGTAAGCAACCTCCACTTCCAACCAAGAGGTTGTGAGTTCGAGTCACCCCAAGAGTAAGGTGGGGAGTTCTTGGAGGGAAGGATGCCGAGGGTCTATTGGAAACAACCTCTCTATCTCATGGTAGGGGTAAGGTCTGCGTACACACTACCCTCCCCAGACCCCACTAGTGGATTATACTGGGTTGTTGTTGTTGTTGTTGTATCTAATAATACATTTAATAAATACTTAATAATTGATTAACATTTGATCGATAATTAAGTACTCTAACCAGGTTAGTTAATGAGGGCACATAGTTTTTATTTTACACTAAAGAATCCTAAAGAGCACTAAAGTTACACTAGTCTAAATGGCCATAAACAACATCAACTAACATAAATTAAAAATTATTATCAGTTTTTCTAGGCTAAACTACATTGCATAACAAGAAAAGGCACAACATAACATTAAAGGGTATTAAACAACAATAAAGTCACATATTATTATATGTACAATACTAAAGTCACATATAACACTAATTATTCAACAAAATAATAATATACAATTTTCATAATTTTTTGCACATAAATAAACTAATTAGGGTAAAAAACAAAAAAATAAATATATCAAAAGACAATCACAATAAGCATATAACACAGTAAAAATAACTACTTAGTCAATTATATACATGAGTTAACTACAAAAGTGATTCGGAATACCTTTTTTAGAGTTTTTTTGAATTGAGAAATAATGAAGATTTAACCACCGAAACGAGCAATAAAAGAGCTCCACTACACGACAACGCCTTGGATCTGGTGTTAGCTCCGTAAAATAATAAGGGGACACGATTTTGGGGGACGGGTGAGCTCTAATGGAGCTCTAAGCTTTAAAAATGGGGG